GGAGATCTATCAACGCGTGGTCAAAGCTAGATTAGCCTTTACAAATCTGCGGCATCTCTAGCGCCAGCGCAACATATCCCTTTCACTGAAAGAGCGTGTGTATTGTGCAACGGTACGCACCGTGTTGCTCTATAACTGTGAGACCTGGCCTCTCCGGGTAGATCACGGCCAGCGACTATCAGTCTTCGACAACCGTTGTCCGCGCAACATCGGCCACTTATGGTGGGAGCATCGCGTGAATAACGGTGAAGTCAGACGACGGTTGCTACGACCAGATAGTCTTCCTTTGAGCAAAATAATTTCACAGTATCGTCTTACGTGGCTAGGACACGTCCTACGAATGCCTGAACAACGTCTGCCACATTGTGCACTATTCGCAGACATCTGTCCAGGCAGGAAGAAACAGCGAAGTGGACAGGCTATGATGTGGCGCAGAGGGTTAAAGGGATTGTGCTCGGATCTGGCTTCCGTTGGGGTCTCTTGGCTCCCCGGCTGCGAAAACTTGCGAAAACTGAAGAATGTATTACACGTCACACTAGATTGAGTTGCCCAATTCAAGTTGTTTGTCGGGGTGTTTAAGGGTTTGGAAATCAGATGTGGCTAAAAACCAAACCCGGTGGAAAGATATGAAAACCTCCCCCTCCCTATTTCGTCGTAGAATTCCTAATTTTGGTTATGGTATTCCAATGAATTTTTATTTACTGAGCTTGATTTCCCCTATTTTCAAACACAAGATTAAAAACTAAACTCACGAGGGCCGCTTTATCCCTATGCGTTTTTCGGTGGATCCCAGAGAACGAAAATAGTTCTAACTAGTGTTTGGAAAATCGGTGTGACCAGTACGATAAAATTATCAAATTTCTCTTCCCATCTTTTTCAGCAATCATCTGACAGCTTTGAGTTTGGGGATAGTTTTGCACCTCTTGTTTGTTTACTCGCAGGGCACACATTCGGACAGATCTGTCCACTTGTATAGCTGCTGGCTATATGACTGCGCATAAACGGGACCAGTTGTAAACGATCACACCCCAGTGACAGGTTGACCAATTTTCCAACGCTCCCACTCCTTCGTCAGGTGGTTGGGCAGGAATATCTAATCTTTCGGTTATACAATATATGCATTTTTTTCTTGTCCTTCGTTTACAATTTGTGACAGGGACTTCTACTTAAAATATTGGTATCAGTTTGACAGCTTCCCATGCAAATATCAATCAAGGAACTACTGTCTAGTATTGGATTGAACCGATTTGGATGTTTTCGAAGTTTGTCATCGCCATTAATGGTTTCCACATCTCAATCAATCTGGGCTTTTCTTATCTGAAAAGATGGGTAGCTCTAAATGCTCTCACTCCGTCTTTCTTGCGATGTTGGGTGTGTGTGCGCGTACGTGTTTATCGGACCGAGTGACAAAATAGTCAATCTTCATAATGGATTGAAAGTGACGGGGTTTAAGCTCAATAATTTTTTACGTTCTAGCATGTGAACGTTCCCTAAAGCAATTGTATGTTTGACCACTGTGTACCGAACCAATCACGGTCCAATGATCTTTATACCAAAAACAAAATTATATAATTTGCAAGTGGACGGGATAGTGCCAGGTTGCTCAGACTAAAGTAGATGAATTTTCTTGTGGACGTCA